ACACACACACACACATATATATATATATATATATATATATATAAAAACTTGTATTAATGCTATATTGGTATATTATTTTCTATAATGTGTTCAAAAATAAATTAAAACATCTGAGCTTACTATTTTTGTTATATTATTGACACTATATTGCTATACTATTAGGGGAATACTCAAAAAATAAAATAAATTACAGTATAACATCTAGGCTTGTTTTGCCAGGTTTTAAGTTGGATTTAAAAAGTCTGACTGAAAGTCTGACACTTGAAGCTTTAGTGTGAAAGATTTTTTTTATACTGATTATTGGCAATAACAAAAACAATAACTGGCTATTTGTATGGGCCAAATTAAAATGTCCAAAGTGCAGTCCTAATTCCAACTCAAAATATATTTCAAAGTGTAGAAGGTGGCATACCTTGCATGTTAAGGATCTTGTGCATGGCTTACGTGCTGTCATATCCATAACCCCACAATGGACATCTGGATTAAACTCTCGCTCTGATTTAAGGAAAAAAACATAACAGAACACACAAGTTAAAAAAAATATTTTTTTTCCCCTCAGAATTTTCTGTGACATAAATATACAATAGCAGCAGAGAGTATAAACATTCACCTTTTCTCTTGTACAAGGGTCTTCTGCTACTGGCACTGCTGCTGTCCTGTTTCTTGTCTTGGGACGAGAGGTGGCCCTTTCCATTGGGGATCTGACCAGGGGCCAGCTGTGGAGCCTTTGGTATGGAGGGGAAGTTAAGGCCTGACTTCAAGGGAGAGGTGCTCACAGTATTGAAGGAAGAAGAGGTGGGCACGTGGGGGAGTTTGGGTGAAGAATCCACCTTCAAATGGACCTTCTCTAGACCTTTCTCTGGACCTTTGACTACAGGGATTGGGCTGCGAGGCAGAGAAATAAATAGTCTTATATTGTACCAAAGGTGGGTGTGCTTCAGATTACATCTTTTGTGTTATGCAAGAATGGGCTGCTTATCATAACGAATTTACACATTAAAGGGGTCATATGATGTTGCTAAAAAGAACATTATTTTATGTATTTACACTCCATCAAAACACACATACACACCTCTCTTCTTGCGGCACCCTATAGGGGAAGTGAGGCTTCCGGTGAGGCAGCTTCTCTTTGGTTGATTTGAAGATTTTAGTGGGGGCGCTGCTGTTTGCACTGGCTGGGCGTGCAAGTGTACTACCACTAACAGTCCCGACCCCGACTCCACCCCCAAGGCTGCCCTTATTTCGAGAGTTTGCAAACGCAGCAGAGACGGCATAGCTGGATGGGGGCTTGCTGCTGGAGCCGTGTCTTCTCTCTGAGGGTTAAGAAATGTACAAGATTTTACTCTTTGAATGCACAACATGTTGACCGCAAAAGCCAATAAACGTACAATAATTTTTACATTTTTATTCACTGGTAGTGTTTTTTTTTTGTCTTTTTTTAAGTTTAGTTTAATATTTTAAGGCCGATAGTTGATATCTGTTACCATTTAAAGAAAAAAAAAACGTTATAATTTCTTAAGTCAAGCATTATTACCATCTAATAGCATTTTCATTCTTTAATGCAGGTGGGTTGTAATGGTTTCATGATAACTAAAAATGTTATTTTAAAGTTATTTGCGTTTTTACATTTTAGTTAGTTCTGGAGTGTTAAAGATTTAAATTTAGTTGCAGTTTTTCCCCAGTTAACAAATAACAACTCTGATATCTACAGAGTGTAATGTAAAAATGAAAAACATTTTTTGAGTTTCAAAAAATAAATAAATAAAAGCAAAGGACAAACAAATGCTTAACTTCTGAGTTTTGACAGAATTTTGGACTAAAGAAGTCTTCATCTGGCTTTGCACTTTGTCCAAGACATCTATTTTAATAGGTAGCTGACCTAACCTGCAGTTAAGCTAAGTAGATTAATACTTAGACACACATAGAGACACTCTCCTCTTCTAAATACACACATTTGCTTTCTCTCTGTCATAATTACAAGACACAAATGTGCATGAGCATTTTTAGTCAAAAGAGTGAACCGCTGTGCTGCACTAACAAACGCTCTGGTCTCTCTATACTTGCCTGTCAACAACACACACACACACAGTTCTGTTGCTCCAGCCCAGCGTTTGTCACTAAGCCCTCCAGCAAACCGGGGGCAAACACAAGCGCACACACACAAACAGTCTAGTCTTATGTCTGGCCTGTCTTTATCTGTGCTGATAAAACTACAGCAAAAACACCAAAAAAAAAAAAATAATAAAAGAAGGACTAGGGCTGGGTTTTGACACAAATTTCACGATTCGATTCAATTCTCATTCACAAGCTTGCGATTCAATTCGATTACCAATTCGATTCGATTCGATTCAATATCGATTCATTATTTTGGATAAATATCAGGTACAGTACATGCCAAATTTTCAAGGGAAAAAAATCTCTCAACTAAAGCTGTAAAATATAGCTACATGAGAGTCAGTTGGTACTACATTACTATAATATTGAAGGTTAAAATTGACTGATTTGTAGGCTAATATACAACTGCTAAAATTACACTTAATGAAGTTTTTAAAATAATAAAGTTACAATTACATAATAATAATTCTACTTTAATTCGTTTTTTTTTTTTATATAAACATTTAAATGGTGGCTGTCATAAAAACTTGATGGATTTATTCAAACATAAATTAAACATTGAAGAACAGGAAAAATTATAATGAATATGTTATATGGTGCATATATTTAGCAAAATGCCCCTCTCTATAGTTTATTTTTCTAGCTTACTAATGAATTTATGGTCACAGAATATGTCTTTTCTGAGGTAAATGTGACGTTACGTTTACAAGCAGTACCGTTTCTTTCGGACACGTCTGATTTGAGAACCGATGAGCTGATTCTCGTTCTCGAGTCAAGAACCGGTTGCATCGGTTTTCGGGTTCACCAGTACACTGAACCGAGAACCGTTTCTTTCGGACACATCTGATTTGAGAACCGATGAGCTGATGATACTGCCCATGCATGTAATTTTTCAAGAGGACGAAAAGCATGTTATCCAAGTATTTTGTTAAACATCAGAAAGTGTGATAATATAAATATATTTTATTTTACTTTTTTTAAAAAGATGAATGTATCTAATCTGTGTACATTGTTCAGTTGAAGATTCTGTTAGGTTATAGGCCAAAGGGGGTTGTCAGGGAAGTTGGACCATAATTAAGACTCTATGTTTAATAGGAATAAGGGATGATTTATGAAATACCTGTACTATAATTATAGTTAACGATGACACATTCACAAATTGAGTTTGTAGTAAATAGAACATGAACACGAGTAGAGCAGCTGATACTGAGTGCGTGCAGCGTGCCGGTTAGAACGGTTCTCGTTCTCGAGTCAAGAATCGGTTGCATCGGTTTTCGGATCACCAGTACACTGAACCGAGAACCGTTTCTTTCGGACACGTCCGATTTGAGAACCGATGAGCTGATGATACTGCGCATGCGTGATTCAGCGACAGCGTGTGTGATCTGAACTACCGAACCGAACAGTAATGACTGTCACAGCACAGCAGCACCGCCCGCCACAGGTGTCTGAACTCTGAACCGGACAACTGATGCCATCGTGAGCGCGGGTGAAACGAGGATAATGGGCCAATCCGGCGAAACGTAAATTTACTTAATTACAAATAAACCGTAATGGATTATACATAGTAAGTGGAGCATAGTTTCTGCGCTGATGAAGACTAATTTATTGACGTCATAACTGTAAAACATCCTAGTTTGCAGATCACTGCCTGTATATGTGTTGATGCTTTAGATACAAAAATCCAAATTGTAAGAAACGTATCAGATTATAATGATGTTTTAATTGACTGATGTTATGATTACTGACTTTATATTTGAATGTGTTAAGCCCGCGATAGACTTGACGCCATTACGTCATCGCCAATGACGTCATTACGTCGAGCGTAAAAGAACCGGTGAACCGGTTTTTTCAACCGGTTTATTGAATCGAACTGTCCGAAAGAACCGGTTCGCAGAAAAGAACCGAACTTCCCATCACTAATAGGGATAGGAATTCCGTAGAGCGGGTGACGCGTCATACGCCACACTGCAGAGAAATACAGCGACCTCTAGGATGGTTGCGCAAGATGGCGGCCGGCGAGGAAGCACGCCAAAATGGCATTTATTATTTAAATACTGCAATACAATGGACAAAATTTTTAATCTGAGACTTTGTTTCATATTGAAAGTACCAAAGCACAATGCTTATTGCGATTTATTGGATGGGAAGTGCCCTTCAATGTTCCATCCATTAACTGAAAACAGGCTAGACTAATCGATTCTTGGGATTTATGAATCGATATCGTTCCGTAAAAATGAGAATCGATTAAAATCGAGATATCATATTTTTTACCCAGCCCTAAGAAGGACACCATGAAGAAATCCTTGACTTATTTATGTCTCACAGATGCTTGTGGCTATTTGCTGGGATGTTGTCACTGCTCTGAGAAAGTGAGCCAGCAGCAATTTGAGTAACCAAAGGCCCAATCGACAAAGCCCCAATTACACCACAACAATCCGCAGTATCATTCTGGCCCCATGTTGAAAAAGCAATCTGGGATTGTTGTAAGGAAACTGTACACCAAATACCGCAACCTGACAAATGACCACAGGGAACTACCGACATAAAAACAAGAGCCTCGCGCAAAAGAAGGACGATAAGTGTGGACACGGGCACAGTGTAGTAATATACAATTTTGCACTTTTTTCAAAAATGGAGAACAAATCAAGAAGCCGGCAGTCCTTCAAAACTTCCTGTATTTCTAAAACAGTCAACAAAAATTCATTATCGATTTGTCAAGATCTTTTGTCGATGTAATTTTGCAGTAGTAAAATATATTTTTGATTTATATTTCTAAGACGCAAGGACAGAAGCAGCCGGATTAATTCTGAAGTGTATAGGGATATACTGTCTGCCCAGATTCAGTCAAATGCAGCAAAGTTGATTGGACGGCGATTACAAGTGATTAAAATTGGATGATGACCCAAAACATACAGCAAAAGCAACCCAGGAGTTTTTGAAGGTAAAAAAGTGGAATATTTGTTAATGGCCAAGTCAATCTCCTGATCTCAACCCGATTGAGCATGCATTTCAAAACTAAAGGCAGAAAGACCCACAAACAAACAACAACTGAAGTAAGCTGAAGTAAAGGCCTGGCAAAGCATCACAAAGGAGGAAACCCAGTCTCTGGTGATGTCCATGAGTTCTAGACTTAAGGCAGTCATTGCCTCCAAAGGATTCTCAACAAAATATTAAAAACGAACATGTTATTTATGATTATTTGTATTTGTCCAATTACATATAAGCCCCTGAAAATGGGGGGGGGGGTTGTAATTCCTAAGCAAAGCATTTTATGTTATATTTTTGTTCAACCCGTTGAATTAAAGCTTAAAGTCTGCACTTCAATTTCATCTTGATTGTTTTATTTTTCATTCTGTTTTAGTGGCATATAGAGCCGAAATTATGAAAATTGTGTCAGTGTCCAAATATATGGACCTAACTGTATATGCACACCGGTCTAATCAACTGAGGTGCAGTGTGACTGCAGAATCCCACAATATCCACAAATGCATAATGTAGTTATAGTACAGTTAAAGTGATAATATACAGTCAGCTGGTCAATTTCAATCAAAGGGAACGTTTTGAGCCCATTTTAAACTGAAGTGGATACAAATTCATTTCTTATTTAAGAAGGGAATAAAATAATCAACCCTCTACGGACACCTTGGCAATTGAATCGCCATTGGCTACAGTGTTCATAAAAAAACTTTCACCACTAGAGTGAGTGATTGTGTGATGATCTCTTTAAACACACACACACACACACACACACACACACACACACACTAGAACTGGCTCAGTCTGAGTGCAATAAACAGATCATACTGTGGAATATTTAAACATCAATGCCGTCCTGAAAAACTGATCTTCTGGAAGCTGAACAGAGCATCAAGTGCACTGATGTCGACATGTTTTGGCTCTCTCAAGAGTGCTGCAACTTTCACAATCTGCACAAATACTCAGTCCTGTGACATGTTTTTGGATTCAGTTATGGCCACGGGAAATCTTCCAATCAAATAAGTCTAATTTTGGGTTCTGATAGCCCATGAACAGCTGCACTTTGAGTTTTACAGTGAGTTTTACAACACTTGTAGCTTTGAGAGTAACTAAAATATCCACATATTAGGAAGATGTCAAATGACAAAAAAAAACAAAAAAACATTATTCTATGTATGCTAGTACACAATTTTAACAAAGAAATTAAACAACTTTTTTCAAAACAATGATTACATTTTTAACTATTCTGACAAATGTTGCAATTGCAATTATGTTTTGCACTGTGACTGTCATTAAAAAAATGACTATCCCTAATTACATATTGCTACAAATGTGATATTAAGCCTAAAGATCTAAAGACCATAAAATCACACCGAAACGGCAGAGAAAATGGAGTTAAAAAAAACAAACAAGCCAGCATATAACTTAAACCAGAGGCGTTTTGCATTTCATTGGATGTGACTCGGCAGACTCAAAGCAAACCAGCCCAGATGCATGTTAAGAGTATGACAGAATAAAATGTGGCTCCTTCACTTTGAAACACACAGCATATGCAGACATGTTGAGTAAATTAAAACACAGCCATTTGCAATTAACATCAGAAAGTGTTTTGATTATTTTTTTTCTGCCCTACTTTATTGCATGCTAAAAAGCACCAAAGTAATTTGCCACTGGGATTTAAAGACATTTTGGCTCCCTCTTGTGGCAAATGCTGAAATAATGAGTCCAGCTATTATTACTTCAGAATCTTAAACAACAATATTGACTCAGCATCTGGAAACAGAGACTTTCGTTCAAGATTAATTATGGTGAAATTAAAGAAAAAGCTGGGACAAAGCAAGACCTTGACTGGGCCAAACATTTTTAAAATCAAAGAAAGAATGAAACCACTTTTAACAGAGATTTCAATAAAGAAAAACACTCCAGCTCCATTAGGAGTTATCTCTCTCTCTCTCTCTCTCTCTCTCTCTCTCTCTCTCTCAAAAAACAAACAAACAAACGTTTGATTGAGAGCACTTTCTTGAAATTTGTAAAAATGCTCAAAGCATTTTGGCAGATGAATTTGTAATGTTCATGTGCTAAAATAAACGCTACAGTGTTAAACCACTGCTGACACGTTTTAAACGGCTCAAAAATAAATAAATAAAATCCTCAAGTAAGTAATTTTCCTTAAAACACAGATCAGAGGTGTGCTGAAATGGGAGCGATTTTATTTGTATTTCTATTCTGAAATTTTCTGACGCCTTGTGGGAGGTTTTAAATGTGCTAGATTGGATAAAACAGCACAGACGTGCTGACTAAAAAGAGCACATCAAATATTAACTTGGGGACAGTAAACAGAACTCTGGCGGTGGGTATCAAAGGCTTGTGTTCTTCTCTCTTCATGTTATGATAGTTGAGGCAGAGCAGTGGTGGGGGCGGGAAGGATTTCTGTCTTAATTCCCTTGAGTGAGATAAGATTTTTCTAAAACACCTCCATTGAAGACGGCAGGGAGAGCAAAGTGAGAGAAACGCAGAGAACGAGTCAGCTGTGGATGTGGACAGCAGAAGGTGTTCTTACCGTAGTGTGCTTGGAAGGCCTGGGGTTTGACTACCTGACTGCAGTGGCTGCACATGACCAGGTAGAAGTCATCCTGGGCAGGACATTGGCCAAAGATGGGCATGTCTGCAAAAACACACACAAAACACTCATTAGCAGGTCACAATGTTTTGTGTTCTTCTGACACAGCATGATGAGACAATTATAACAATGCAGCTACTATTATTAGCAGCCAATATTATTAATTAGCTCATTAGAAAACTTTACGATGCAATGCAATGCAAAACGAATGATTCTCTTTCAAAACTATCACTCTGAAATGCTGATAAAGTCTTTAAAAAAATCTATTATTTGAAGAAATCAAATATAAATTTAATAATTCAAAAATAAACTTGTAAATAAAACAAATAAACAGATAAATCATTTTTCAATTCGAAAAAACAGACATATCTACAACTGTTCATTTATACATTTATTCATTCAAACATAAAAATGTAAATAAATAACTTCTGAACCCTACAAATAAGTAAACAAATAAGTTAATGAGTTAATGAGCTTAAATGTTTAAAAGCAAATGGACAAAGAAAAGCAATTTGCATATGCTACATGAAAATTACTGCAATGAAATGTAATGACATTTAAATACATTATTACATTATATACATTAATGCATTCAAAAGTTTGGGATCCTTTAGTTGTAGTTTTTTTTTTTGAAAGAGAAATTAATACTATTATTCAGCTAAGATGCATTAAATTGATCAAAAGTGACATTAAAGACATTTACACTGTTAGAAAAGATTTTCATTTCAAATAAATGCTGTTCCTTTTAACTTTCTATTAAAGACTCCTGGAAAAAAAAAAGAAAAAGTTTCACGGTTTCAACATGAATATTAGTTAGCACAAATAGATAAGAAATATTTCTTGAGCATCAAATCAGCATACTAGAATGATTTCTGAAAGATCATGTGACACTGAAGACCGGAGTAAAATTCTGCTTTGTCATTACATGAATAATTCACATTTTAAAATATATTAAAGGGGTCATATGATGCTGCTAAAAAGAACATTACCGGTATTTTGTGTATTTGGTGTAATGAAATGTGTTTATGCGGTTTAAAGTTAAAAAAACACATTATTTTCCACATACTGTACATTATTGTTTCTCCTCTATGCCCCGCCTTTTTGAAACGCTTCGATTTTTACAAAGCTCATCGGTCTGAAAAGCGAGGTGTGCTGTGATTGGCCAGCTATCCAATGCGTTGTGATTGGCCGAATACCTCAAGCGCGTGACTTGTAACTAAATCTTAACCAATGATTCCTAATTGCATCTACTTCCGGAAGGCCAAATAAAGTGCTTTTGCTTTCGCACTGAAACACAGCGTCTCCCTGACATGCTGCATCAACACTACCGCTGTTCCTGAAACCACGCTTCTTTCTTTGCGTGCACATTTGGGCGGTGTTATGCAAATCTTCCCACATAGTGAGGTAGGTATGTGGGGGCGTGTTAGAACGAGCCGTTTTAGGTAGGCGTGGTTAACTCTTAACTTTTATAAAGAATATCTCTTTGGATTTGAGATTTTAGTCTTTGCAACTTTACAGATCTTCTTTATACACCAAGAGCTTGTAACACTCCAAAGAGAAAGGAAAAATTGAAATCGCATCATATGACCCCTTTAAAATAGAAGAGAGTTATTTTGAATTGTATTTTGAATTACAATATTTCACAATGTTATTGTTTTTACTGTATTTTGACCAAATAAATGCAGACTTGGTGAGCGTACAATCGTAAACTTGAATGGTAGTGTACATTAAAACTAAATTTTTAAATAAATGAAATCAAAATCATGCTGCACAAAACTATACTGTATATTACAGAGAAAATGTTTTCAGGTTGCATGTTCTTGTTCATTGTGAACAGACAAATTACTTCTTGCTAATTAATTCATGTTACTCCTGATTAGAACACACAGCGTAATCGAGTGTAAATTGCACGTAAAATTTGACCTAACCAGTGAATTGCGCCTTAAAGGTGCACTAAGCAATTTTTAAAAACCGCTTTTGACCGCAGCGTCAGACTGAGTCCCAAAACACACTTGTAGCCAGCCAATCAGCAGTAAGGGGCATGTCTTGTAATGATAAAGAGAAGAGAGCGCTCAATTTGATTGCACAGACGGATATTAGCAGATCGACTATAGATAGAGAGAATTGGAAGATAAAAAAAAAAAAAAAGAGGGAAAAATACAAATATTCAAGCAATAATAAAAAATGTAAATGGATATTAGCAGATCGACTATAGATAGAGAGAATTGGAAGATAAAAAAAAAAAAAAAGAGGGAAATATCGAAGGAACAAAACATTAAAAAGAAGGGTTACGATCAGGCAAGAGGTAGGACCCGCGTAAATATCGGAGCAGCTTTCCAGCGGTGGAGAGAACTCAAGGAGTGGGTTGCATTGCTTCTTTTTGATATTTGAGTAACGTTGATTTTGCATTGTTTCACACAACTTATCTGTGTTGGCTTTTGTTTGAATATGCTTGTGTGTCATCTTTGCTTGTTTCCGCAATCGTCGTTGTGCCAGGGTTGTGTACGTACGTGTGGGGCGGAGATATCAAAATAGGGGCGAGGTCCTGTTGGGGGTATGGGCGTGTTTGTTTTGCTGCTTTCAAATATAAACATTGTTTGGCAAAAATGGCTTAGTGCACCTTTAATTAAATCTTCCTCATCTGCCATCAGATCATACACACACAAAATGCCTAAGCACACTTGTTTCCACAGCGCACACCAGTGTCTGTCCACTATTCTGTCTGTTCAGGTAATCAATAGCCCGGTTCAGGTGAGGCCACCCAGGCCATTCCGGGGATGTTCTGGGAAAAGCGTCCGGGCGAGTTCATGCGGTGCAGAAGGGTCACACGAAGCAGCGCTACTCTGTTTTCATAAAAAAGGAAACAAATAAGTGATAAGGGATAGCCAGCCACCGCACCAGCATTTCAAAGGTTGCCTGGGGAGGGGGTCCTCCACCAAGCGAGGCGTGTGGGAGAGCCAGTGAGAAAAAGAGTAATTGAGTGGGAGAACGAGGAGAAGAAAGAAAGTGAGATTGCAGATTAAGAGTGGCAGTTGTAAAGTTGTGAAATTTCTGCAAAGCCGAAAGATTATAAACAAGTGAGCTGAGGAGAGCCGTATAGTAAGGTGGCATTTGGCTTTCAAGATTCATACTTTTAGAAAGTGCCCTGAATTGACAGCAGTTTGTGGAAAGCAGTCTACCCAAACCACACAAATAACTGCACTGAAAATAGATGAAAGCAGTGGAAAAAATATCTGCACATTAAAAAAGAAAGAAAGAAATCACTCTTAGTCTCTGCTATTTAGTGAGGCGTAATGTGGACCTTGCTACAAATGCAAACTACCTGTTCCGGACACTTTAAGAAAACATCTAAAATACTTGACCTGACTTGAAGCTGGCAACACGCAAATGACCATTCTCTAAAAAACAAGAATATATGCTGAACTGGGAAAAACAACATTATTTGTTTAAAGGGATAGTTCACCCAAAAATGACAATTCTGCATGTAAAAGAATAAATTGCTGAATGTCGTTATTTCTGTTTTCTTTGTGCACAAAAAGTATTCGCGTAGCTTCATAAAATTGAGGTTGAACCACTGATGTCACATGGACCATGTTAACAATGTCCTTGCTCAAATAATGCAATTTCATTATTTTATTTTTTTCAAAACTTGACTCTTATTTTTTATTTTAATGTTTGTATCCCCCAGGATACGTCGCCACTTTAGGGGTATAAAATCACTGAAAACAGAACACTTGATTATCAATGCTTGTTACAACATGGTTAATTCCTGAACGCTTTGGTATACAGACCTAATGTTGGCCTCTTTTTAAAGAAGATACATAGCAGATTATTGCTAAAGTGAAAGCATTAAAAAAAAAAAAGAATAAAAAAGTTATACAAGTTTTAGTTTACAGTAAAGATAATGTAGTATACTAATTTTTTTATTTTATATAAAATAAATATTTTATAAAATATGTTGCACTTTGTTATGTTCCAAATTTGAAGTTGATATCACAAAAATTGTGGCTCCTGTGAGATTTTGTTTGGCCACTATACCAAAAATAACCACTGGGTTACACCCAAACTCTATAAAATTTTATTGATGCAGTTTTCTGTCACAATATCACTTCTATTACAAAACAGTTACCAAATATGGAACATTCGACTGAGACCTTTCCAACGATATGTTTTGTCAAGATTACAAAAAGATTTGATTTTCAAAATCACAGTCTATATATGTTTTTATATATCTTGATTTATACTAGGGATACACCGAATGTTCGGCAAACGAAATTATAACACAATGAAAAATGAACAAGAAAAGCAATGTGTAAATGCAGTTTAAATGTTTTATCAACATTGTTTTTTTACATTTAACAACATTTTAATCCATTTTATACATACACATTTATGTATTTTATAGATCAAATCTTTTATTCACAATAAAACTTTTTTCGATCCTGGCTGATGTTACAAGATTAGTAATTTGCCATGCAGGAGATCTGGTGGATTAAATTCTAGTGCATGTCCATCTTTTTGAACTATTCATTGAGAAAAATGCTATAAAATCAGTTATTTATCATTGCACTGAAAGCGAGTTTTGATCTGAATCATGACCTAGCAGTTGACATGTTGAGCCTGTGCAGGAGATGCAGGTGTCTTCTTTTCTGAAATATTAATTAAGAAAAATCCTTCAAGATCAGATTTTCACCATGGTGTTGAGAATGTGTTTCTGTGAACCGTGGCCTAGCAGCTGACACATGGAGCCTTGATGCTCAAGCAGCAAATGTGGGTTTGATTCTAGCATGTGTCCTTTTAAACTAAATGCTATGAGATCATTTATTTATCATGACACTGAAAATGGGCTTCAGTCTGAACCATGACCTAGCAGTTTGCATGCTGAGTTGTGGTGCTCACGCAAGAGATGCAGATTCGATTCTGGCTTGTGTCCTTTTTCAAACTAATCATTAAAAAAACACTAGAAGATCTGTTATTCACCATGGTGCTGAGAACGTGTTTGGGATGGAACTGTGGCCTTGCAGCCTTGATGCACATGCAGGAAA